TACAGTGCCCATAACCAGGGCAACCATAACATCTTCCCACAACCCACAAGAGCACACAGTAAAACAGTACAGGGAGAGTCGGACCACTATGTAAAGTTTTCTCCAGCACACCCCAAAGATTCTCAATGGGGTTAAGGTCTGGAGTCTGTGGTGGCCAATCTATGTGTGTAAATGATGTCACATGTTTCCTGAACCACTCTTTCACAATGTGAGCCAAATTAATCCTGGCATTGTCATCTTGGAATATGCCCAATGTGCCATCAGGGGAGAAAAAATACATATGGATGGACAGGAGCACTCAGTATAGGGGCTACCTGTGCTTTCATAATAGAGGATGCAGAAAAACAGATTTAGGATTTTGTGTCCTCGATCTCTTTTTCTGTTTTAAAAGGGAAATATCAGGGGTCTGTTTAGACCCCTTTTTGAGATCTTTGATTACAATTACACTTTAATTACAAACCACAAAACACATAATTTATCACATATACTGTTTTTTTAATATTCAGCAATAGACAGGTGTATATAAATATAATAATCATATTGAGAAAATAAAATCCTTCTTTCATTTGTAATCCAGCTATTTACATAATACTATACTCAGGGGCTTATTTAAAGGGAGTTGTGGTTTGCCCTCTCTGCTAACGCAGAGCATTGCTGTGTATTAGCATTTTACTTTTGATTTATAATATGCATGTGGAAAACACTTGCTGATAGGAGGGTAGTACAGTCACATGCCCTATTCCAAGATCATGTGACAGATTTCTTCCTCCACCCAACACGCTTTTTAAATTTATCATAATGAGTTGGACTTTGCGTGCTTTAGGGTCCTGCAAAGTCCCGCTTATTACCATGAGTGAATTGCAATGAAAAAACACACAGCAGTGCTTTACATGTGCCAGAAGTGGTCTCAATAGAAACATAGTGGCATGGTGACAGTTAGGACATCCAGCTGCTTTATAAATATAGCCCCCATAGTTTAATAAACATAAACACTTTTAAGCAAATAAATAACTCAGTATACATTTTTTGCAATGCATTTGACCACGGTGGTATGTCCTAACTCTGGCTATACAGCTGCTACATAATTATTACCCTTAGGTTAATAAATATAAACACATTTAATCATATAGATAATTAATTATAATTCAATTGCAATGCATTTAACTGCACAGTATGTTGTAAGCCACTTTTGCAGATTAAATAAACAGTTTCATCTTCAGAACATAAAAAGGGATAGAAAATGACCATCTTAAAGGAAACCTGTAATGAAGGAAAACATTAGAGGCCAATGGTGGCTACTTAAGAAAGTGCTAGTTCCAGGCTGTAATGTGTTTACACAAATTGAACACTTTCAGAGACACTGAACAGAAACTAGTATGCAAAAAAGGAATTCTGACTTCACTTTCTGCTGCACCACTTCACTTGTTTTTGGGTAAGTGCATTGTACTGGGTTGTATTTAAAAAACATTGCACTTAAGGTGAATGTTGGGTTTTGTTAAGTCCCAAACCCTACTTCATAGAAGCCATGGTTTACATACTCTGCACTGATGATGGTCAAAATGCCTGAACCTGCTAAATGCAGTTTGAAATGAATGGTTCTATAAGAGTAGGCTATATTTGCAATACACACCAAGGGCTCTGAGCATGCATAGTGCTGATGGGAATAATTTGCATAGCTCCAACCACTGTTCTGTAATTAGGAGTACATCTTTTTTTTTTTTCCTTACAAGCTTTCCGCATTCACAACTGTAACGTTCTTGTAGCAACGTTCTCTGCCTCCTTTTTCTACATTACTGAATTTCCCTCAGATGCTAATACTAGAGGTGATGGAATCAGAAGACCTGCTCATTTATATTTTTTATATTCACTTAAATATTTCTGTTTAGGACTGTGTGATTTGCAGAGAATCGCGCAATTTAGAAATCTAGCCGTCTGCAACCCAGCCGTCTGGGTTGCCCAGTTCTTTTCAGACTGGACATTTATTCATGCTTACATTATATTTTGGAGAATAAAAAAGAATAAAAGGACAACCCAGATTTGTTGTGATATGTTCAGCTACTTTATAAGTTAAACTTTTTTGATGCATTAGATTAAATTAGAACTTCAAAGAAACTTTCTGTGTAGTATTGGGTATACTGGGAAAAGGTTAAAGCATGTGTTTTTATTGCTGTCTGTGTGCACACAAGGAGATTTACTCCCATTTACTATTCTGATGACCATATCATCAAGACAGGAAGTGAGGGAAATCAAACATTTTACAGCTATCACCACAACAGTAGATGGGAAATCCCCCAATGGCAACACATGTTTTGAGATAAATGTCAAAGATTGGATTTTCTCTTACTTTGAGGAGACTTTCTCTCACTTCTAGTTGTCTCTTTAGGGTAGGAGGTGAAGAGAAGTCCCCCCAGTGGAGAAACAGGAAACTAAAAAAAACAGACAGTGGTTCTAGCCCTTCCTTACTGTATCCAAAATCTTTAAAAACAAGTTTTGACTGTGATTGACCCATGGGTGAAATTCATAATGCTTCTGTTTCTATACAGGTATAGCCTAAAGTAGCAAGTTCTAGTCTAGATGGCAGCACAAGTTAGACTTATCAAAATGGTTTACCATCTGATTAGTAAACAGCAGTTACAACACATTATGCCTATGTCTGTTATGTAATGCATATTTGGGGGGAATTTATCATAGCAATTACGAGTGTTTGAACTTGCATGGGCATTTTTTTGACGCACTTTGTGCCAGATTTATGTTGCTAGTGTAATGTTGTTCATAAATGAAATTAAATAGACTCCAGGAAAGAAGACTCGCAACTACAGGCAAAAGTCATAAACTGTCGCTTCTTGAAGAAGTGATCATGGGGACCTCTTAAGTTGTGATTGTTTTGTTAGGTGATACTCCAGTTTCAGACAGCCTCAGGACAAGTGCAGATGTATACAGTTGCGAACCCTCGCAAAAAACATGCGCAAAAATAGTGCAAGCTCTGGTCAAAACAGGTGCACATGTTAAAAGGAGTGGTTAAAAAGATTTGCGCATTTAAAAAAATGTTCTAAGAGGCTAAAACAGTCGCAATTGCTTTGATATATTCCCCCCATGTGCCTTTAAAACATCCTTGCACAACCAACAAACTGGAACAATTAAAACTATCCAACACCAGTTTTTCCAGTTGGTGTATCAAGTTTGTTTGTTAACCTGGTACAGGACCTATCTTTGTAACTGGTCAGCTGAAAAAGGAAGTGGTAGAGTTAGCATTCATTGTTCACTCTTTGAACATTTGCGTTGCAGGGAAGTTCTGAACCTGCAGAAGTAGGAGAATTGATTCATCATTATCAGTCCGTAGAATGCCAGTACTTCATACAAGGTTGATGTATTTAAAAAATTGTGTTTTTGTAAGAAACAGTGATGACTGCATTGTTAGTCGGTATTTTGGGGTCTATGCGCACTGGGTTGGCCTTTCGCACATCTCAAATTCATTTCTTTGAATGCCTGCTCTTGGAATGCACATCCTCTCCCTTTGTATTACTCCACCTTCTGGGTCCGATGGTTGATATGAAGGACTCCAATCTCCATAGTGTGTAGAGTAACTTGGGTAGCTCCCCACTCTGGATGTCAGATAGTGAATACAACCTGCGAGCTGTATAAAAATAAAGTAAACATGTTTTACCTTTGGTATCAAAATAGGGAAATAATAAATCAATTACCATCAAAACATGTTTATTTTCTATAATACTTGATCTTAAAGAGTATTTTCCTTTAAAAGGGATACATCAGGTTTATGTAAACCTAGCGGGCTCAGTTAGCCCTTGGCATCTTATATGTCTTGGATTCTCCAAAAGCGAGATATACCTGTAATAACTTTCAGCTTTGTTACTTACTGTCTACAAGGGAAATGTGGGTGTTCCCACCCATATTTGCATGTTCCACCCGTGTTGCATTCTCCATAATATGAAACAAATAAATAAGCAAGTAAATAAGGGTGGAAACCCCTCATAACCTCCATAGCTGGTGTGCAAATCCATAAACTCAAGTGCAGAGATCTCACTCTTACTAAGGTGATTTAACGATTAAACCCGATTTTTGCCAAATGTATCCAATCGAATGCTTACCCCAAGCAATAGTCCCAACAGCATTCCGGCACCCAGTATGCCAAACAAGATAATAGCCCAGTATGGTACTGTAATAAATAACAAAAATAATCAGTTACACTTAGCACAGGGTTATAGACTGAAATTATAGCCTTTTGTTAGTTTTGGGTAGAATGGGGAAGGGCAAGAACCTCAAATTAGCTTTTTTATGTGGAACGTGGGTTTTTCAGTCATCACAGGTCATCAGTCTACATGTTTAAAGTTATTACACAGATCTGACAGCAACTGAAGGCACAAACAATGTATAGGATGTAAAGTAGAAATCCCAAACTTACATTGTACACATATGTTAGTATTTGAGTGGGGGCATGGGAATTGAGAGTCCCAGATTCTCCTGGAGATGGTGGAGAGTAATGGAGGGAATTCCCCCAATGCCCAATCTCCACCTCTAGTTTTGCAGGTTCCCCAAAAAGTGTAAAGTTTAAAAAAAACTTTATGTTGCTAGACGCAAAAATGGGAGTGGTATAAGGAGAAGGTGTGAGAAGAAGGAGTCAACAGGGTCCTAACACAGGGCTTAAAAAGCTCTCAAGAGTCACAAAATGTATTCAGTGAGCTGGAATTGAGCTTTAAATGGCAACTATAAGGGTCTGGGCTATTTTTTCTAATCCTCTGTGTTTTTAACTGCTCAGAGCACTATGGGTTATCTAAAGAAATAACAAAACAAATGTCTTCTCCTTTCAGGCAGGCCAGCTCTCTCTGAAACCTTCCACTGACCCACTTGAGAAGGGGTGAATTGCTGAAATGAATTCATCACCTGTGTGTGTAAATATTAGATTGGGCTATTGAGTTCTATAAACATTAGTATTTCTGTCAAAAAAGAGGCAAATACCTAAAGAGAAACATCTAACAAAGAGCCTAAGGATCCACTTGCTGATTAAGAAAGACAGATTATGTAGAAAACCAGTATACTTTCACTTAATGTGACTATATGGTAAGTACAATTTTCAGGGAACATAGCAACAATACACCTATTCGGATGACAGATTGTTAATTCTATTTGTATTTGGAATATGCCATTAATAAATTAATATTATGCTAGAGAAATTGCTTACAGTCATTATTTGTAGCTAGTACGGCGGCAGCATTTGTCTGTCCTTTGGTGGTAGTCAATGTGGTCGTACTGGTGGGTCCAGAGGTTGTGGTTGTAGTGGACATGGTGGTTGTGGTTGCTGTAGTAGAGGAAGAGCCTCCATTAACTCCAGGACTTGTGGATGTTGTAGATGATGTTGCTGTGGAAAAAGAAAGAACTGTGTTAGCCGAAGCCAATCTTACATAGCAAGTAGTAGTGGACTGTGCAGCAGTAGTAAAAGCAGTAGTTGATGTTGCTGTAAGAATGGAGATTTTACTGGTAATTGGTTTTCTTTCAGATGTAAGTATTAATGGTTGTTAAAGACTAAAACCCAAAATGTAAAACTCAATCCAAACTCGAAACAAAAATGTAATATTTTGCCGCTTAAAGCTCATCTCAGGGAATATATTACCTACCCTCCCATCCATCTCTAACTCATCCTGCACTTTTTACTTACCTTGTTAAGCAAGATATACTCACAACTCCGCAGTTTGGGTCCCTTATCAGTATCGCTCTTAGGTGTGAGAGACTGCTAATCCAGCTCTGCATATGTGCCTACTCTGACACGTCCTCAACAGTCCCCTTGTGCTGACACCACCGCTGCAGATTCTTCTTCTGGATCCTAAGAGGCCACTACCCCTGGACAGCCAAAAATCAGCTTGAACAGACCTTAAATGTGGTGGCTGCATTAATTTTGTTTTTTTTTTCAGTCTTTTTTTCCCCCCCTTTGTTTTCACCTGGTGATCCCACCAGTAATGCACTTCCTGTCCTTGGTGAAAATGCTTTCTCATTGTACTGTATGTTTAAGGGAGCATTATTGTCACCCTACACTTCCCTCCTGATTTGGACTACAAACACATTTCCCTCATCCTCAATAAATAGGGGAAAGTGTTTTGTTGTTCAGTAGGGAAGGTAGTAGGGAAAGCCGTTAGGAAGGAAGTTATAAAGGCAATTGATTTCTATCAGGATCAACGGGTATATATTTCTGTATTTGCAGAAAATGTTCTTAGCCTCAAAAAAGAAAATTAATCCAACCACAACATCTAAGGACTGGTAAGCTGCAATATATACTGTATATATAGATATATATAGATCTATATATTGTAACAAGGACACTCCACTGAAGACCGGAGGTGCAAGTACAATGCAGTTTATTTGCTTTCAAAACGAAAGATAACACGAAATCCATCGTATATCTATATCTATATAGATCTATATCTATATAGATCTATATATATATATATAATGTTCTTGGGTTTTAATATATTATAATGCAATATTGGATGTTTTTACCATAGCAGCAGCAAGGCTAGCTAAAGTAACAGCAGAAATGGAGACCAAAATAAAATCAGTTTGTGTTGCAGAATAAGTAAGAACAGTGTGAGCATAAGATACTTAATTAGTAGTTGCGGTAGGAGAGAAGGGGGCATAGTAGTAGCAAAGTTACATTAGTTAGAGATATTATAGCAGTGGGACATTCTGAAGAGGTAAGAGCCATATTGATCATTTGTGTTTTCATTTTTTGATATGTGTTACTCATGGGAGCAGTGGACGCTCCCAAGGTAATTGAAATACAGGACCTCTAAAAGTAGTCAGTGCTATAGTGGTAATAATGGTAAGTTGAAATCTCATCTCCAGAAGTTGTAAAAGCTCCAGAAGTAGGAAATTCCAAAAACGTTTGTGCATTACTACTACTAGCACCTGAAACTGCAGAAGAAGTAGGAGTAACAGAAAAATGCTGCAGTACTTTCTGGTACTGTACTAGTAATGGATACCATAGAATAATCTAAGGTAAGAATGCCATTTACTGTGTTACCTGCCATGTGAAATGTTGTAATTGTATGTGCTGGAATATTACTGGAAGTTATAAAATTAATTAATAGAAGAGGGGTGGTAGCTGCTGTAGAAGAAGATACTACAAAGGACATTCAGCTACTAGGACAGGAGGAGAAAGAGAAAATAATGTGGAAACTGTGGCAGTGGATTCTGCACAAGAAGCAATAACATAACAGTAACAATAACAGTGAACAGTTGCCTTTGAAAGAGCTTGCAATTGTACAGACTGAGCTATAGGAAGTAAAGCTGTCCATAGACAGGTCAGTTGCCAGTCTTGGAGCTGTGTGGAAAAAGTCAGCCAAACAGTGACTGCATCCACTCAGCTGTGGTCACTGTTGGGTATTCTTACAGCTGTGATTGTCAGCTGTCTGAATTCAAAAGCCTTTAGGGGGGATTCACCAACCTATGCTGTGGGGGAGTCCAGTTATGGGGGAAGCAAGTGGTTACTTTTGTATCAGGGGGAAGTATTTTGTGGTTTTCATTTATTTTCTATATATTGTTTTTGTATTTTTTATATCAGTTGATAAGGCTGATTTTTGCATTTGTGTTGCTTAAAGGAAATAATTTACTTGTCAATGGCCATTTGTTCTTGGAGCTGTCTTTTTGTTCACGGCACAAAGCTGTATCATTTGGAAGAAAACAGTTCAAGAACAGTGTGCACCTAAACCACCTCACATTATATAATTTACATACACCTTAACCCCCCCCCCCCTCCCCATATATAAAATAAAAGTTAGGCATACACCACTTAAGCCTATTATCCCTGAATACCCTGCTGCTGGCCAGTTTTCCACTGCTGTATCATCTGTAGTCTCCTAATTGAAGTAGTAAATCACCCTCCTGTACTCTTTGTCTCTGGTGCATTTTGGCCTATTATCCCTGATTAAAACTGTCCTACTACTGGCCAGTTTTAAACTGCTTAATCTTCTGCAGTATTTTAATTCTTATAGCAAAGCCCCATCCTTTGTCCTGCTGCATGTACTTTTTCTCTAGGACATTTTGGCCAATTCTCCCTCATTAAAAGTGTCCTGCTGCTGGTCAGATTTACACTGCTGTATCATCTGAGGTATTTTAATTCCTAATAAAAGCCTGACAGGACTTGGCCAGTAGCAGGATAGTTTTGCATCAGCAAGAACAGTGACAGCCACAGGTGCATCCCTAGTAATGACAATTTTAGTAGTGGTTGCAACTGTATTAGTAGGAAAAAAGTAGCAGTTGGTGTTGTAGGAGCTGTAGTAGTTAAGGCTGCAGTAGTGGTTTTCTGTGTTATAGAAGTGGGGGCTGTAGGAGTTGTTGGCATTGTTTTAGTGTTTGAGAATTCAGTAATAGAGGGTAGTGTAGTGGTGTCTAGGGGTGCATTCGCAGACAGCAGTGTAAATTGTAACTTCAGAAGTCCAGCGCGTTACTAAGCCCCGAAGTCCAGTGCACTACTAAGCCCTGAGTCCAGCGCGTTACTAAGCCCAGAGTCCAGCGCGTTACTAAGCCCATAGTCTAGCGCGTTACTAAGCCCAGAGTCAAGCTCGTTACTAAGTCCAGAGTCCAGCACGTTATTAAGCCCAGAGTCCAGCGGGTTGCTAAGCCCTGAGTCCAGTGGGTCACTAAGCCCTGAGTCTAGCAGGTTACTAAGCCCTGAGTCCAGCAGTTTACTAAGCCCGGAGTCCAGCGGGATACTAAGCCCGGAGTCCAGCGGGTTACTAAGCCCGGAGTCCAGCGGGTTACTAAGCCCAGAGTACAGCAGGTTACTAAGCCCAGATTCCAGCAGGTTACTAAGCCCTGAGTCCAGCGGGTTACTAAGCCCAGAGTCCAATTCATATACTGTTCTGCATTGCTGTATAATGTTTTGCTGGGATTTGTAGTCCCCCTACATCCAGTGCAACATCCAGTACATTAGAGTGTACGCTCCTCTGGTACAGAGACTGGTGTGACTGGCTCAGTGTTCTCTGTACAGCACTGGGGTATATGTCAGAGCTATATAAATGTATAATAATAACAACAACAGTGTGATGCTGTGGGGGGACATTAGAGTGTAAGCTCCTCTGGTGCAGAGACCACGGGGTGGGGAAGCAGTTTGTTCCTTACGTCCACCACTGTTTTTGCTGTTGGTAATAAGTGCAGTACAGCACTTGGTATGGTCCCTGCCCCCCTACCCTGTGACTTGGTACCTTCCTGTACATGGAGGAATGGGAGTTTTCAGGAGGTGGAGCTTGGTCTGTAGTGGGCTTTACAAAAGAGCAATCAAGGAGTGTAGCAGAGTCGCTTGAGTGGTAGAGTAAGTGTTTTAGCAGCCCAACGATGGGGGTGGGGAGGGAGGCCCACCTGAGAGGCCACACATCACACCTAGCCCACCTGGGAGCCTGTACAGGCTTAGATGTGCTGGGGGATAGATGAGGCACAGTTAGTGTTTAGTGAAAAGGGAGTGTGGTTAGTGTTGAAAATTAACCCCGAGCCAGACTCGGGAATACCGCCAGGGAGGTTAATGAAAAGGGAGGGCGCTTAGTGTTTAGTGAATAGGGAGGGTGCTTAGTGTTTAGTGAAAAGGGAGGGTGCTTAGTGTTTAGTGAAAAGGGAGGGTGCTTAGTGTCTAGTGAAAAGTGAGTGCGCTTAGTGTTTAGTGAAAAGGGAGGGTGCTTAGTGTCTAGTGAAAAGTGAGTGCGCTTAGTGTTTAGTGAAAAGGGAGGGTGCTTAGTGTTTAGTGAAAAGGGAGGGTGCTTAGTGTTTAGTGAAAAGGGAGGGTGCTTAGTGTTTAGTGAATAGGGAGGGCGCTTAGTGTTTACTGAAAAGGGAGGGTGCTCAGTGTTTAGGGAAAAGGGAGGGTGCATAGTGTTTAGTGAAAAGGGAGTGTGCTTAGTGTTTAGTGAAAAGGGAGGGTGCATAGTGTTTAGTGAAAAGGGAGGGTGCTTAGTGTCTAGTGAAAAGGGAGGGTGCTTAGTGTTTACTGAAAAGGGAGGGTGCTCAGTGTTTAGGGAAAAGGGAGGGTGCTTAGTGTTTAGTAAAAAGGGAGGGTGCTTAGTGTTAGTGTAGAGTCCTGCTTAAGAGTCTACCTTGTCGTGGTGGCGGTTTCATAATTTTTGGCCAAAATAATTTTTCTTATTCTCAAATATTGAATTCACGGATGACTTGGAATACACTTTTCAACTTCATATATTAAGTTGTAACAGTGTTAAAATAAAAGTAAGTGCACCAAAGGTCAGTGGGAGGACACGATGGGAAGGCCTGTGGAGTGTTGGTGAGGGGTGGCAGCGGTAGGGGGCGGTGGTGAGGGAAGTGGGAGCAGGCCTAAAGCTGTGTAAGGGGCCCCAAAATTTCTGATGGCTGCCCTGGAAGTAATTGAAGCAGCAGAAGCTGTACCTGCAGTGTTTGTTGGTGCTGAAGTGGTATTGGAAGATGAAGTAGTAGTAGAAGTAGTTGAAGCCAAAGTAGTTGTAGTAAAAGTTATAGTGGTAGATGGTGAAGTTGTAGTAGTGGGGGCTTCAGTGGTGGTCGGCATTGTAGTTGTAGCAGGGACAACAGTAGTAGGTGTTACTGTGGTGGTAGTGGGACCTGAAGTAGTAGTTGGAACAGTAGAAGTAGTTGATGCAGTGGTTGGTGAAGTTGTAGTACTAATTGGAGTTGATGTAGTTGTGGCTGCTGCAGAAGTAGTTGAAGTAGCAGACATTGAACCTGCAGTGGTTGTTGGTGTTGAAGTGGTAGTGGAAGATGAAGAAGTAGTTGAAGCCAAAGGAGTTGTAGTAAAAGTTATAGTGGTAGATGGTGAAGTTGTAGTAGTTTGGGCTTCAGTGGTGGTGGGCATTGCAGTTGTAGTAGGGACAATAGTAGTAGGTGTTATTGTAGTGGTAGTGGTACCTGTAGTAGTAGTTGGAAAACCAGAAATAGTTGATGGAATGGTTGCTGAAGTTGTAGTACTAATTGGAGTTGATGTAGTTGTGGCTGCTGCAGAAGTAGTTGAAGTAGCAGACATTGAACCTGCAGTGGTTGTTGGTGTTGAAGTGGTAGTGGAAGATGAAGAAGTAGTTGAAGCCAAAGGAGTTGTAGTAAAAGTAATAGTGGTAGAGGGTGAAGTTGTAGTAGTGGGGGCTTCAGTGGTTGTCAGCATTGCAGTGGTAGTAGGGACAACAGTAGTAGGTGTTACTGTAGTGGTAGTGGGACCTGTAGTAGTAGTTGAAACTGCAGAAGTAGTTGATATAGTGGTTGTTGAAGTTGTAGAACTAACTGGAGTTGATGTAGTTGGTGCAGAAGTAGTTGAAGCAACAGACATTGTACCTGCAGTGGTTGTTGGTGTTGAAGTGGTAGTGGAAGCTGAAGAAGTAGTTGAAGCCAACGGAGTTCTAGTAAAAGTTACAGTAGAAGATGGTGAAGTTGTAGTAGTGGGGGCTTCAGTGGTGGTTGTCATTGCAGTTGTAGTAGGGACAACAGTAGTAGGTGTTACGTTAGTGGTAGTGGGACCTGTAGTAGTAGTTAGAACAGCAGAAATGGTTGATGTAGTGGTTGCTGCAGTTGTAGTACTAATTGGAGTTGATGTAGTTGTAGCTGGTGCAGAAGTAGTTGAAGCAGCAGAAGTTGTACCTGCAGTTGTAGTAGGGACAACAGTAGTAGGTGTTACTGTAGTGGTAGTGGGACCTGTAGTAGTAGTTAGAACAGCAGAAATGGTTGATGTAGTGGTTGCTGCAGTTGTAGTACTAATTGGAGTTGATGTAATTGTAGCTGGTGCAGAAGTAGTTGAAGCAGCAGAAGTTGTACCTGCAGTTGTAGTAGGGACGACAGTAGTAGGTGTTACTGTAGTGGTAGCGGGACCTGTAGTAGTAGTTGGAACTGCAGAAGTAGTTGATGAAGTAGTTGTTGAAGTTGTAGAACTAACTAGAGTTGATGTAGTTGTAGCTGGTGCAGAAGTAGTTGAAGCAACAGATATTGTACCTGCAGTGGTTGCTGGTGTTGAAGTGGTAATGGAAGCTGAAGAAGTAGTTGAAGCCAAAGGAGTTGTAGTAAAAGTTATAGTGGTAGATGGTGAAGTTGTAGGAGTGGGGGCTTCAGTGGTGGTTGGCATTGCAGTTGTAGTAGGGACAACAGTAGTAGTTGTTACTGTAGTGGTAGTGGGGCCTGTAGTAGTAGCTGGAACTGCAGAAGTAGTTGATGTAGTGGTTGTTGAAGTTGTAGTACTAACTGGAGTTGATGTTGTTGCTGCAGAAGTAGTTGAAGCAGCAGAAATTGTACCTGCAGTGGTAGTTGGTGTTGAAGTGGTAGTGGAAGCTGAAGAAGTAGTTGAAGCCAACGGAGTTCTAGTAAAAGTTACAGTAGAAGATGGTGAAGTTGTAGTAGTGGGGGCTTCAGTGGTGGTTGTCATTGCAGTTGTAGTAGGGACAACAGTAGTAGGTGTTACGTTAGTGGTAGTGGGACCTGTAGTAGTAGTTAGAACAGCAGAAATGGTTGATGTAGTGGTTGCTGCAGTTGTAGTACTAATTGGAGTTGATGTAGTTGTAGCTGGTGCAGAAGTAGTTGAAGCAGCAGAAGTTGTACCTGCAGTTGTAGTACGGACAACAGTAGTAGGTGTTACTGTAGTGGTACCTGTAGTAGTAGTTGGAACTGCAGAAGTAGTTGATGTAGTGGTTGTTGAAGTTGTAGTACTAACTGGAGTTGATGTTGTTGCTGCAGAAGTAGTTGAAGCAGCAGAAATTGTACCTGCAGTGGTAGTTGGTGTTGAAGTGGTAGTGGAAGCTGAAGAAGTAGTTGAAGCCAAAGGAGTTGTAGTAAACGTTATAGTGGTAGATGGTGAAGTTGTAGTAGTGGGGGCTTCAGTGGTGGTTAGCATTGCAGTGGTAGTAGGGACAACAGTAGTAGGTGTTACTGTAGTGGTAGTGGGACCTGTAGTAGTAGTTACAACAGCAGAAATGGTTGATGTAGTGGCTGCTGCAGTTGTAGTACTAATTGGAGTTGATGTAGTTGTAGCTGGTGCAGAAGTAGTTGAAGCAACAGCAGTTGTACCTGCAGTTGTAGTAGGGACAACAGTAGTAGGTGTTACTGTAGTGGTAGTGGGACCTGTAGTAGTAGTTGGAACTGCAGAAGTAGTTGATGAAGTAGTTGTTGAAGTTGTAGAACTAACTAGAGTTGATGTAGTTGTAGCTGGTGCAGAAGTAGTTGAAGCAACAGACGTTGTACCTGCAATGGTTGTTGGTGTTGAAGTGGTAGTGGACGCTGAAGAAGTAGTTGAAGCCAAAGGAGTTGTAGTAAAAGTTATAGTGGTAGATGGTGAACTTGTAGTTGTAGATACAACAGTAGTAGTTGGTGTCGTAGTGGTAACAGAAGCTGTAGTAGTCTCAGTAGTAGTTTGCTGCGTGGTAGTTGGTGGTATTGTAGTAGTAATAGGTGCAGTCGTAGTTGGCAATATAGTGGTAGTAGGAACAGCAGTAGTAGTTGTTGTTGTGGTGGTTACAGGAGGTGTAGTAGTAGTTGAGGCTTCAGTAGTTGTTGAAGCTACAGTAGTAGTAGGAACAGCAGTACTAGTCAGTGCTGTGGTGGTTTCAGGAGGTGTAGTAGTAGTAGTTGAGGCTTCAGTAGTTGTTGAAGCTACAGTAGTAGTAGGAACAGCAGTTGTAGTTGTTGTTGTGGTAGTTACAGGAGGTGTAGTAGTAGTTGAGGCTTCAGTAGTTGTTGAAGCTACAGTAGTAGTAGGAACAGCAGTACTAGTCAGTGCTGTTGTGGTTTCAGGAGGTGTAGTAGTAGTAGTAGTTGAGGCTTCAGTAGTTGTTGAAGCTACAGTAGTAGTAGGAACAGCCGTAGTAGTCAGTGCTGTGGTGGTTTCAGGAGGTGTAGTAGTAGTTGAGGCTTCAGTAGTTGTTGGAGTTACAGTAGTAGTAGGAACAGCAGTAGTAGTCAGTGCTGTGGTGGTTTCAGGAGGTGTAGTAGTAGTTGAGGCTTCAGTAGTTGTTGAAGCTACTGTAGTAGTAGGAACAGCAGTAGTAGTCAGTGCTGTGGTAGTTTCAGGAGGTGTAGTAGTAGTTGAGGCTTCAGTAGTTGTTGAAGTTACAGTAGTAGTAGGAACAGCAGTAGTAGTCTGTGTTGTGGTGGTTTCAGGAGGTGTAGTAGTAGTAGTTGAGGCTTCAGTAGTTGTTGAAGCTACAGTAGTAGTAGGAACAGCAGTAGTAGTCAATGCTGTGGTGGTTTCAGGAGGAGTAGTAGTAGTTGAGGCTTCTGTAGTTGTTGAAGCTACAGCAGTAGTAGTCAGTGCTGTGGTGGTTACAGGAGCTGTAGTAGTAGATGAGGCTTCAGTAGTTGTTAGAGATGTGTCTATAAATACATGGAAAAAAAAACACTTACCACAAAATGCATCCAGTCAGCCCTGCAAAGCACACTGCCCCCCATTTAGCATTCATTTTGTATACTACCAGTACAATCTGTATACCTCTGGGAGCTTAGATATGGACTGAACCCGGTCCTAACTTGAGCTAGTTCAAACACAGAAGCTGCATGGACCTCCAATGGGCCGCCCACCAATTAGCTATGAGCTGGGCATCCCTGCCCAGCTCATAGCTGACCATGAACAAAGGGACTGAAAGCTTGTGCTGACCTCATTTACCTTAAATGGCCACATGGTATGTTTCCTTTTTGTGCATCTTTTTGTGTATTTGTTTCTTGTTTGAGGTTTTTGTTAGACAATCTAGGACAAAAACTGTCCACAAAGCAACTTTTACATTTTAAAGAAACAATACCACTGTAGTAGTAGTTGAGGCTTCAGTAGTTGTTGAAGCTACAGTAGTAGTAGCAACAGCAGTAGTAGTCAGTGCTGTGGTGGTTTCAGGAGGTGTAGTAGTAGTAGTTGAGGCTTCAGTAGTTGTTGAAGCTACAGTAGTAGTAGGAACAGCAGTAGTAGTCAGTGCTGTGGTGGTTTCAGGAGGTGTAGTAGTAGTTGAGGCTTCAGTAGTTGTTGAAGCTACAGTAGTAGTAGGAACAGCAGTAGTAGTCAGTGCTGTGGTGGTTTCAGGAGGTGTAGTAGTAGTTGAGGCTTCTGTAGTTGTTGAAGCTACAGCAGTAGTAGTCAGTGCTGTGGTGGTTACAGGAGCTGTAGTAGTAGATGAGGCTTCAGTAGTTGTTAGAGATGTGTCTATAAATACATGGAAAAAAAAACACTTACCACAAAATGCATCCAGTCAGCCCTGCAAAGCACACTGCCCCCCATTTAGCATTCATTTTGTATACTACCAGTACAATCTGTATACCTCTGGGAGCTTAGATATGGACTGAACCCGGTCCTAACTTGAGCTAGTTCAAACACAGAAGCTGCATGGACCTCCAATGGGCCGCCCACCAATTAGCTATGAGCTGGGCATCCCTGCCCAGCTCATAGCTGACCATGAACAAAGGGACTGAAAGCTTGTGCTGACCTCATTTACCTTAAATGGCCACATGGTATGTTTCCTTTTTGTGCATCTTTTTGTGTATTTGTTTCTTGTTTGAGGTTTTTGTTAGACAATCTAGGACAAAAACTGTCCACAAAGCAACTTTTACATTTTAAAGAAACAATACCACAAGTATGTGCACCATGTCTGTGAAGGTTCTCATTCATCCAGGTTTATATCTGTAAAAAATAAGTCGAGGCAACTTGAAGACGTTTCACTGGTCATCCAACCAGCTTTCTCAATTCAGAATTCTGAATTGAGAAAGCTGGTTAGATAACCAGTGAAACGTCTTCAAGAAAAATACAGCAAGTCCAGTGTCCTTGACTTATTTTTTACAGATATATGTGCACCAAGTCATACAGCAAATAGTCATATCTTGGCCCTTTTTTCTTACTGTCTAAAAAAAATCAAACAACAACAAAATACACCCAAGAAAAAGTGAAAACAAAACAAGAAAAATTATAACAAATGCAGAAACCATATTTGTTTCCATTTGTTTGAGTATTTGTTTCCATATTTTGTTGTTTTGGGGTTTATTTTAAGAGAATAGATCAAAAATGGGGCGTGACTAGCAATTTGTTAGATTAAAACAGGCACCACCCAATTTTTCTCTATTTTTGTTATATTTTACTGCTATATGTTAAGAAAAATACACAGGGTTCAGAGCCAAGTAATATGAGAAAAAAGAACTCGAGAAAGGAAAACAAAAAACCAAAACATATACCAGGAAGATACCGTACGTGACTTCGCTTTTTTCCTGAAAAGCGTAGCAGAACACGTTGGGGCGCTCCTCTAGGCCAGAGCCTAGAACTTTAACAGTCGGGCATGTACTAAGTTGCGACGGGATCTGTTTTCTAGATCCTCGACGCGATCCAGGAACCGGAAGTCGATTTTTAAATTTTGTCACTGTGTGGCATTCTCACCATTAATTATTCAATAATAAGATATTTAATGGTTTGAAGCTTTTCGATTGATTTCATTGTTGAAAAATATTTTTCGTATTACACTGTATCCGCTTATGAGCCTTTGCTCAGATTATGTCACACCAATTGTCTAAAACAGTTCAATTAACAATAAACTACACTCAAAAACCAAACAAAAGAGCACTCAGGACCTATACAAAGCCTGGGAGTTCACAGAAATCGATCTTAAGCAAAGCTCCAAATGTTTAAAGTTGCTGGATGTATTTCAACAGAGTTATATATTTTGGAATGATTATCTCATGGATATAATATTTTGACAATACACCCCGAGCAGGGCTCTACTGATACATTTTAAAAGTTTCACATACACACACATATACACTGAGTGGCCAGATTCACAAGAAATCTTATGTGAAAATATTTGAATATATATTGCAGTTCTTCCTGCAAGTGAACATGCCTAAAATTCTTCCTGGATTAAATCCCTTAAATAACATTTATAATATGACAAGTCTAACAGCAGTAGTGACCATGACCTGTTCCATCCAAAATGAAAGACTGTTTTATCTGGAGAAGGGTTATAAAAATAATTTTCTGGAGAGTTTAGTAACCTGCTATACATTTTGCTAATAATGAGTTGAGAGTATTTTAAAGTAGCACAACCACTCTTGGAGCTACCGATACAGAACTAGGACACAGCCATTAATTGACTTTGCACAGCTATAATTCAGCACACAACTTATTGAAAGGTTACTATTAACTGCCGTGCCTGAACTACATTGTCATTTAAACATCATCTTTAAATAGTGTGAGATCTGTGAAGATTACTGAGCTAAGATTCCCTTAGGGCTCAGCACCATTTAAAAAAAAAAACTATTATAATTCTCACAGCAGCTACATTTTACTCCCCCTTCCACACTGGAAACAAGGCACAAGCAGACCGGTTGCTATGGGAAATAAAAAATCACCTTTTTATAATAACATTTATAGTTGTCTGCCATTTTCCTAAGGCCATGGGCTCTAATAATTGAATTAATGCAGAACTCTAGGCATAAATGTTCTTTACGCTTACAGTGGGGCTGCACCTGCTCTGCAAGGGTTAACTGCTCAATTTGTATAAGTGCTAAAGAAATTATACTCACCCAAACCCCGGAGCCAGCTGGCTCTTAGACCGATCCCTGGAGCCTTTTTCCCGCTCCGCTGCAGCGGTCCAAGGTCCGTAAATCATCACATTCTATACTCAATGTATAGGACGTGAGGACGCCGAGGGACACATCATCGCTGCAGTGGAGGAGGAGACAGGCTTCAGGGGCCAGAGTAGCAGCCAGCTGGCTCCGCAGTTCGGTAAATATAACTCTTTTTTTTTAGCACCTGGACCAAAAAGAGCACTCAACCCTTGCAGTGCAGAGGTAGCCCCACTGCGAGGGTTAAGAACTTTTTTGTCCAAAGTTCTGCTTTAAATATAACATGATATAATAACAAGTATTTTCTTTTTGAAAGAAAGAAAAAAATAACAGAATGTCAAAATCAATTTGGAACATGTAAATATATTGCATATATTTTTATATATATAAATATTTTTTTCAAAATGTTACATACCTGTGGCTTGGGCACCTGCAAAATATAAATAAAAAGTGCGCTTAGTATGTTATGTGAACAATTTCCAAAAAAGAGAAAATCACTCTTTAATCACAAAAAGTGCATTTGCAATATATATTATTTGCAACCAGAACCTGCTGTTCTCTTCCTGGACAAGTTCACCAAGACCTAACAACGAGGTTGATAAATAATAATACATGCATGACACAGTTATCACTATAGGTTTTCTATAATGTGTTATAAGGTATAATGTTTTTGGTCTTTTGTTTTAATAATATATAGTAGGTCTGGGTCAGAAGAATATTTAAAGTGGATTTCCACTCTTGCAGCCAAATTGGGATAACACCTATTTTATGTCTGTTTTATGTCCTAGTTTCCCCCTGTGTAATGTTAAGGAGAGGGCTGTGAGAAGTTATATTATACTGATTAACCCTGACTGTACTGTGCTGGCAGATCTTTCTATCAGTTGTAAATTAGATTTAAAGGAGATCTATGAGGTGAGTGATTTCCACTCATCCTCATAGTTAGAGCCGACGTGTGATAAAGAAACAGGTTGGCTCTATCGATCGGGAAGTGAGCAGAAACATGCACAATCTGCTCACTTCTCGATCGTCTCCCTGCAGTCCGCTGCCCACAGGGATTCCCCCCTCCCCTCTCTGATCCTCCAGTGCTGAGTGGAGCAATGGACAGGAGAGGTGGGCGGTCACAGCTGGCTCTGCCTCTAGATAGGCAGAGCCAGCGGTGACTCATGCAGCTGGGTGGATCTAGACAGTAATGTCGGGATCCGTCCCGGCTGCGGCGTTTATAGCAATAGCCCGCAATATACTGAGCTTTGGATCACGGGAGGATGCTAGTATATGTCCTCCCGTGTCCCCAAAGAGAACAATGGGGAAAAACACTTACCCCATAGTTCTCTTATAAACACTATCAAAGGGTTCCTAACAAGGGGTTAAAGAATAAGAAGCATTGTGTGTTAATGAGAGGAAGCTCAGCCAATGACGTCAGTGATCTGGGCGGGACACTGGACAGAGGTACCAGTAACATGCACTGCCAACATCCCCTCCTCCCAGGAACATGCACTCTCAACCTAAGGTGGCAAAAAGTGTAGGAATACCCGTGACCTTGCAGTGGGACAACTCTTTGCTTTGGTCCTCTAGTAACTCACCCCTCCTTGTCTTCTAGCTCCTAAGATCAAATAACAATGTCAGATGCTCTATCTCTGTGCTTAAAGTGTATGTAAAGCCCATAACAATCTCCCCAGTAGTGGAACAGACAACTTTAAAAACCGGGCAGATGTTATAACTCCTCCTCACTCAATGCAAAACTTAAAGAAAAGAGTTAGTTTTACATTCACTTTAACGGAAATGTTTACATTTGCAATGCTGTTATTTGAGTCTGTCTGTTGTTGCTATGTCCTCCTGAGAGATAAGTTGAGAGTGCATTGAAAATCCAACATTAGATGACTTCTGACCCCTTCAAACTTCAACTAAAATAGCAAGTGGGTGTGTGCCTACTCTGGCATATTCAATTCTTTGTCTATTCTGAATTAATCTTAAATTATACACTCTCTACAATATAGAGAAGAAATAAAGAATTGAAAAAAAACAAACTTGCAGTCAACAATAAAGAAGATATATGGCAGGAACTATATTCCCTTTAATGTTTCTGTATTGCACCATGATTTAAAATGTGTTTGTATGTGAACTATAATTAAACAAAATAAAAAATCATCCTGACAGGATAAGATCTTCTTATGGTCACAGTTCAATCTGGCAATGTTTAATTGTTTCCATAATTAATAATATTTTTTAATCTTATTTTAATATAACATTTTTGAAATATAATTGTATATACTCAATGAATATGATTAAAAACGACAGAAACATCCTATTCAAACTGCTCCAGAAATAACATTTGTATTCTTTATAAATCCACCTCTATTGCGTCTCTCTGAAATGATTCACCCATTAGTCAAGAGAATTATCATAGACCACCCCACATATGTATTCAGCCAAACTTAGTGAACCTGCCTTTTTATAAACTCTGCCTTTTGCATCATTGAATTTATCTTTTAGATTTTAATTAACTAAAAAATTAATCTGAACAGGTAGAACCGGGTGTAATTTTGTGATTCAACCTTCAATTGCCTGATTCATTGTAACAAGTTGATGATTATATTGAGT